GCGGGTAGCTGAACTCCCGAAATATGAAACAGCCATCATGACTCTGTGCTAAAATAAATGATGGACTCATTGGGAGTTGTCCTCACTATACCCAGGGCTGAGAGAGAGGGGGAAGGGCACGTCTGTAGGAAGAATGTGCTGGAATAATCTCTATGAGGACAGATCTGTTATTCTGACCACTGACTGATCTTGGGCAGGAAGGGAGTTGCTTGTTGCTCATCACTTTATAAACTCCTAGAAAGAGTTAGATTCTTCTCGGTCAGATCACTGCAGGTCAACGCTGGTGGGTGCATCCAACACCCGCCCCCCAATATCTGCAAGTCCCTAGAAGGGACAGCTGTCTGGAGCCCCTGGAGCCATTGTCACAGCCAGTCCTGGCTGGCGTTTTGTGGTACCCAAGCTGTGGCTAACACCATCTCACGCAACTTCTCTCTCTCTTGTCCCCGTGCGCGCGCGCTCTCTCTCTCTCTCTTTCTCTCTCCCTTTCTCCTCATTTCACTATTTCTTTTATGGCTTAGTTTTATAAATGAGAACTCACCACTAGTCACCCTTGGCCAAGCAAGTGTATGATGTACATATTAAAATGTGATTCTGAATTCCATTTCATGGCCACTTTTGAGAGCACATTCAAACTCCCATTATTTTGTCACTTTACATTAGTTAGTTCCCTGTGGCAAGACATTTTGTTTACTCCTGTTTTGCATTTCAATATCTTTGAAAATTGTTTATGAGATTTAGCTTTCCCAAAGTTTGGATTTCTGTGGCTCATTGCCTACTGCTGCTGATGGAGGAGCAGAGGGGCGCTCAGATCCTGGTGTGGGGTGGGTGCAGTGCATTTGCGTATGTTTTTCAGTGATGTGTGCCTGGATATTGACAAGCAGTTCTGCTGCCTGCGTCCAGGAGTCCAGAGTCAGGTTGGAGGCCATGGGTCAGCTCTGATGAGCTGTGTGGCCTCAAGACTCAACCTCTCTGAGCTTTTCAAGATGAATGTACAGATTCCTATCCTGCCTCCTCCATGGCTCTGTGAGGCTGAAAAGAGATACTAGAGGTGGATGTGCTTTATAACACTCTCCTTCAAAGAAATTATGTTATTGCCCATAATATGTAGGGATTCATCAGGAACTTCAAAAGTTGTCACTTAAAGCCTTTAGCCGACTTAGAAACGCTATAAGCAGTAACATAAAAATAGGTGACATATGCTTTGAGAGGCTACTTTCCATGGCTCACTTTTTCAAATACATTCTCATTTGGCTTTCCACTTTCCATAAAAAACTACTTAAGAGATTGGCTCAGATGAGCTTCACTGCAGGTAAGCAAAGCAAGTTGAGTGCTGCTAATGCAACCAGAGGGTGCAGCAGAACAAACGAGATTCACAGAGGCCGTGCCAGGCAGAGGCACCTCTGCAGCCCAGGCTGCCTCCGTGGAGATGCAGGTAACACCTTGTGCTCATCCATGATCCAGGTGGTGCATCAGGTGCATATTACCTGCTTCTCAAACCTGAGGGTTAACAATCATTTGCAGAGCTTTTAAAGGACCAATTCCACAGGCGCATTGCTGCTCCCATCACTTATATTAAAAATACATAAAACCTCAAAAGAAAAGTGCTCCTTGTAAGCATTAATTTCCATAGACAGACCACAGAAATATGCCTAGGATATAATAAGCTGTGATCCATACAGGGAAAAATTCTTTCAAAGAAAAAAAAGCTGTGGCAATGTTAACCCAGAATAGCTATTGATCTGTGGTGCTTCCCCATGCTTTGTAGGACACGCTGGTACCTGGGTTGATGACTAAGGACACAGGGACTGCAACCTCACTTTCAATGTTCTAGGTGGCACGCAGCTACCTAAGAGGGCTGGGAAGACTGTGTTTTTGGCTTTGTTTTCTTTTGTGGAAACATTTTTGCCCTGCGTCCTTTCCTGGGATTTCCTGATAATGCTGACAGTATTTTAGGGCCTGAGGCAAGTGCTGAGTTATAATCAAAATTCGTTTTCTGAGCAGAGAAAATTGTGTATTTATCATGTTTGTATAGGTCACCTTCATTCTCAATCTTATTATGGCAATTACTTAAGTAACCTGGGATTCCTTCAAAGCTGATATCTTTCCTTCTAAATGGAAGGCAGAAGACTTCCCAGGAATGCAGACACCCTGGTTAAAGTCATTTAGCCCCTTAATCCCATCCTAATTAAAAGAGATGTTTAGTGTAGCTGGCCTGGAATATGAGGGGTCTCTGCTTTAAGCAAGTCCCAGGCAGGGGAAGGATCTATAGCAGAGCTGTCTCTGTGGAGTGCAAATGACACTGTCTGTCTATTTGTCTGTCTCTGCCCGTAGGGAGGGCTCCTTGCACAGACAATGCCCCCACTTCTCCTTCCTACGCTCTGAAAGTGACCAAGGCCAAGAAGCCAGTGTTCTTGGCTGGCGGCCCTCTGCTTCTTCATTCACAGAGGTTACTGAGGTGCAGCCAGCGGGCTGGCTCCAGTGAGGGCTCTGATCCTGGTCTGGATTCATCACTCCTTTCTCCCTCATGTCTTTTTCTTGTTTCCAAATCCAAAGTGCCTTTCTCTCCTTGCTCCTCTCCCATCCACCCTAGCTGCTTCTATAATGCCTGCCCTGGGCATCCCTCTCCCTTCCCCCCCATCTCCAGAGGTGCCCTTGGAGGGGTGGACTGGACTCAGGCTTCCTGAATCCCTGAACCCAGGCTTCTCCAGGGAAGGATCTGAGCTGGTGGCACAGCCCCTCTGGGGTGGGTCCACAGCCCTTCCCAAGCAGATAGTAGCTGAGCTGAGGCCGGCTGGGCAACTTCCTCCTCTTACCCACAGCCCCTGATAAACCAGTTCCTGAAAGAAGACTAGTCAGACGCTTTCTGAGAAACTTGCAAGAGGCCCTTGTTAGTGTCAGCATCATTGCTGAGACCCCCGGTGTCCTCCCCAGCTTCCAGATGTGAGGCCTTAACCTCCCCACCTCTACCTCTATTTAGCCTCCCCAGAGCTCTTCTCTATTGTAACCTGTTAACCTTGGGTTTACCCACACGGCATGGGGCAGTAATGACTTTAAGTGCCTGACAGATACTAAATAGAAATTTAGGGCATTTTTAGTACTATTACTTGAAGAAATCACATGCATTTCATTCTAAGACCAACCTATGTGGGTGAAGTATGTTGAGTGACAGTGGGGATGGATGTGGGGTCGGGGGGAAGTGCATGGATGATGAGGAGGATCATCGAAGGAGGGAGCCAAGAAGAAAAGTGTGGCAAAGCCAAACATGGCCCCTACTTTTATGGAATAATCTTTGGAAATCCCATGGGCCTTGGGGCTTTCACTAACTCTGCTTGATACAGTACCGCAGGCAGCCAAATGAGAGCTGAAGACCTGAGCATTGTTTTTAGAAATTTAGAGGCGGCCTTTGGAGTGTTCAGCCTGAATATCTTATTAAAGCAGTTAAAGGCTCCGACAAGATTGTTTAATCCTGTAGTTACTCAGTTCTTATTGACATAGCCACCTCGGAGGGCCCCATTCTGAGTTCTCTAGGAATAATACCACCTTCCTTCTGCTGTCCAGGCTTGAGCCTCCTCACAGCTCATTAGCACCTTCCAGGGCAGGAAGGATAAGGGAGAGGCAGGAGCCAGTGGTGCTCACTCCAGGAGCTTAACTCTAAAGCCTTCCCCTGCAGCCTCTTCCAGCCCTTTGGTTTCTGTGAATATTGTATGATATTCTACTCTGTGGGCACAGAGCAGTCATGGGGCTTTTCTGGTTAATAGTAATTGCAAATGAGACTCTTGAGTCACATAACTGGATGCCCTGAGTCCCGCGCAGTCATTTGGTGACTGCTGGTAATGGAGTTGCCGAGAAGGCTGAAGCTGGCCCTAAGACAGCCGTGGGCGAACTACGGCCCGCGGGCCGGATCTGGCCCATTTGAAAT